CCTATTTTTGTAATTGGGTTATATTTCTTCTGAAGTTTGAATGGAAAGATGGGGGAAGTCATTTTAAATAGTTTTCAAGGAAAAAAAATAAAATTTTGCTATCAGAGTTATGTGAAGGCAAGGATGGAGAAAAATCTAGCAGCACCTTCAGAGACCAGCAGGTTGCCTGGTGAGGCTGAGGTCAACATCTGGCCCTGGAAAAAGATTTAGGGCCGTGGGGGAGTGCAGGGGACCCAAAGCCTGAGAGCCAAATGTCAAGGTTCTTGAATGCGCTACTATGCACTTTGGATCTGACTTCATGGGCAAAAGTAAGACACCACAACGTTTGAAGAAGAATAGCTTGGGCCAAGCTGAGCTTTAAAGAGCTGGCTCTGGTGGCAGGAACCAGGCCTAGTGCCAGCTCAGAGGTGGTGCTAGAGTGGCCAAGTAGTCAAAGCAGGAGGAGGCAGGAATCACCAGACTTAGCTTCCTGGAAAGAACCATCACTCAGCAGATCTACTCAAATGGACTTGGTGTTGACTGATCACTCGACCCCTGTAGAAGCTGCTTGGATAGCCCACGTATAAGAAAATACCCTACTATACACAGAATCCACACAAAGCATAATTCCAGGGAACCATTGAGATTTGGGAAAAATAATAAATCAAGACTTTTCAAATGGTAGAAAATACCACGAACTTAGTGAAAAATGAGTTAGAGAAGAAAGAGAATCAACCTTAAAGAGAGAAATAGACGCTGAATATGTGAGCGCAAACACACTCTGGTTAGCAGCATCTCATTTCACTGCTCCACAGGCCTCATCAGTGGCATGTTCTCCTCTTGATTTATTCCTCTACCTGGCCCTAAATGCCCTTCCTCATCTCTCTCCACTCATGCAGGATGCTGCTAAAGCTCATTATTGAAGAAGACTTATACAAAGAAGACAAATACAACACTTATTTACTGTACATCCCATCAATAGCAGTCTAAGTACACCCTCAATTCATGTGCATATTTATGCATCAATTATATGATTACTATCAGCTTGCATATTAGTCACAGATTTGTTTCATTTTTTTAAAAAAATGAATAAAAATAACTTCTGACATTTTCTTTTTATACCCAAAGGAATGATCATCCCCTTTAGAACACTAGAATAGCCCACATTTACCCCAAGGGTAAAAGGATGGAAGATTCTCTGGGCAAAACCTGGCTGGACTGGACCCCAGCCCCTTGTCAGGTAGGAAGGGACCCTCCCTTAAGATGTGGACAGGATCTGGGAAGAAGGTATAGGTGTGATTTTTTGCTGCACATTCTCTAGCCTTGACATATCTCAACATGATCAAGGTCTCAAACTACTTCATTTCCACATTTCTTCCATCCAAACAGTCTTATCCAAGAGGAAGGTTTCCATCAACCTGTTACTTGATGGACTTACGCCAATTGATGATCCTTGCCTTGTTCCACTATCTCATCAGGAGTTTTAAAATGCTGATTTTCGAGTTCTTCATCCCTTTTGCATTTATTAGCTATGATTTCTCTATGATTAATAACTTTCTCTCATCAACTACTTGATTATCTTTAAATACAATTTGTGCTAGAAAGGCAGGGCCAAAGCTCGATTCTTTTCATTATTTTTCAGAGTAATGAAGTGATGTTTTAGAAACATGATTTTGTGGGGTTGTTTGTTTGGATGAACATTCTGGACTCATGGACTACTTTCCTTTGGTTTTAGTCCACTTAAGTCATATTTTTTTGATGCTCAAATTACCCCCACTTTGGGCTCTAAACCCTTTAATTCATCTTGCTTATTTTACCTAATTCTATTGATCTTTCTTAACTTCCTTGCTTTCTGGCATGGCAAGATGTTTTCTGCCCAGGACCTGCAATTGGCTATTTAATCTTTGTGAACATTAAGATTCAGACCGCTACTAAAATGAGGTTGAGAGGCAAGAGAGTACCCAAGCATGCATGATCAGCAGACTGCAGAACCCACCATACCTAGTATATGCCAGTTTCCTTTTCCAGTGGAGCTTAGGAAGTGGTCTGCCAGAGGTTATACAGGTTAGTGTGGGGTGAGAATCAGGGCACATGCACATGGATCTCACTACAAACCTACTCGTCTGCCTATTCTTCTGGGGGTTTGTTTCCCAGTAAACCCTGTTTATTCCTTTAATAACTGATTGCTTTTGTTGGAGATCAATACCTAGCAGGAGGTTCCTTTTTTGTGGGAAAGCTATTCAGGGAATCTCAACCCCAGTGCTAAGGATACTCATTGCTACTGTGTTGTTTTTACTTTTGATGTTTTTCAAAGTGCATAGAAAGGAAACATTTTCTTTTTAAGAAATGAAATAAATTCATGTTGATATTTCCTATCCAAGCTGAAGATTACATAGTCTTGACTTAAATTCTTTAAGTGTTCCTCCTTCCTTGTACACTGACATCTTGTTTCCATTGGTATACTTGTAATGGTTTCAATAAAAGTATTTCCCATCATGAGTGTATGGTCCAAAGACTGTTTTAAAGTTAGCAGAAATAGTTATTGGTGAGAGATAAACACCAACCTGGTATCATTAGAATTGTTCCACTTTTTTCAACCTGTTTTCAATTTTTAGTCAATGTGTTCTTATTTTTCACTTTTCTATTTAAGTGTTATGAAACAGTGTTACATAGTTCCAATGTCAAAATAAGAGGCTTCTAACATCTAGTATCTATCCCTGACTCCGCACATCCCTTGTGCAGAGACAATAATATTTATTCATTTATTTATTCTTACATTATTTCTTTTGAATTCACAAGCAAAATCACAAACATAGACACATATTCCTCCTCAAGCAAACTTTTGGGTTCTTGCTAACCTGATACTTGGGACATGTATCTTGGTGCAGTTTTAAAATAAATTTCTATTACTGAGTGGGGCTAATATGTTTTTATGTGTTGCAGGCAATATATTTCTTTTTCTTAGCAACTGCTAATGGTTTTTGCCCATTTTATTGCTGGAGAGTGCAAATTTTTCTTGTTAATCTTAGGATGCCATATTAGTGCTAATAATGTTCAGTGATAGAATTTGCTTATAGTGTTATTTATTAATGTTGTTTTGCCATAAAAGTTGTTTAAGACACTCAAATGTATCAATTTACAGCCCCTCCCCGATCCCACCCAATTCCTGCTGAATTCTAAGTCAGGAAGTTTATCCCCTTTCCAGGTTAGCAGGAATTATTGGGTTGTTGGAAAAGTCATGACACATTTTTGCTTATAAACATAGAAAAACTAGGTCATGACTTTTCTGACAACCCAATAATTCATACTTTCATCCTTAGGCACATTTAAGGCAGTGAATTTCTTTCAATTCACTCAATCAACATTGCTAAATTTTTCCATCCATGGAAACAAGATTATGTTTATTAGGAATCTAAATTCTGACATTCTAAGAGAACTTTCTATGTTCAGGAAAAGCCTCCTGTTTTGACTGCCTTGAAACAGGCAAATACCATCTGGTGGAAGGCATGCATACACCATGTCTTTTAGCCAGTTGTTGCCATTTTGGGCCCAGCTAACATTTTACTTCATTTGACATATCACAGAGATCACTTCTGAGCCTATTTTGGACCATTCATCACAATCCCTCAAAGTTACACAGCAAAATCAAACCAAGAGCCAACTCTAACTGTACTTCATCAAGGTGATCAGGCATCTGTCACCCAACATGCCCTGTATTAGCCTGTCCCTTGAACTGTACCCCAGGGGCTGGCTGCAATAGTAGGACAATAAAAGTCGAGGGAAAATAATAATCATGTTTACAATGCATACAGTACTTCTCATTAATCTCTCTGAACTATGGACATTTAAATGCAAGGCGAGTTTTAGAATCAGTCCCTTACCTATGGTAACCATTTTGAACTACCCTTCACAACCCAAGGATTAGTCTAATGTGCTTGCTCTGACATTTAGTGAACTTGACAAAAGGGACATCTTCTGGTGGCTGCATGCAGCGGGAGGGGTAGCTATACAGGTTAAGGTGCAGCAGGAGTCTAGTGGGTCTTAATTCAGTAAAGGAAAGAGAATCATACCTCAGATATCAGATATTAAATGGAAACCTCTAGATTTACATTTCTGATGATTTAGGAAAATGGGAATTCTCCACTCTGAGCATCAAAATGAACTGTATAACCTATGGGATCTTTCACTTCCAGAAGAGGACTTTACCTCATCACCAACGTCTATTGACTTAAAATATAAGTTTATTTTTGGCACAAGTGTTATAAAATTTGATATATGGTGACACAGTCCTCAGCTAATTATAAGTGTAATGACACTAACAGCAGGTAAACTGATAACAGTGATAAGTGATGGATATGGGGAAAGCACAATATAGAAACAGAAAAATGCTAAGAAACTACTTGAGGCCAGTTAGCACATCATCTTTTAGTGTGTCCACTGTATCACTTTGTATGTCATGTCATAAAATAGTCACTGCTATTGTCAACAATGACTGCTACTGTCAACAAGGTAAGATTTAATTATTAATGACCATAATAAATGGTCAATAAAGTATGATTTTAAATAGTTCCATTTAAAAAAGTTCAACTTTTTCTTTACAAAGTTCAATGCTGAGATAATTGAGACTTAATGTTGGAAACTGTATGGATGTGCAAGACCTCATTCCTCATCAACAATCCAGTGGATCCTAAACAGCATCTGGGTGGCAGGAGCACATTTAGTATTTAGTGCCAGCCAATCCAAAGTCTACCCAAATTCCTTTCCCAAAAGGCTTCTAGAGATACTACATATTGAGCATTTTTCCTCCAGAACATTTTTAAGGCATTTCACAAAATGATCACATGACCTTTTAATCCCAATTGGGGAAAAAAAAAAAACTCAGTTCCTCGCAAGGGCAAGGTTTAATGGCACATAGCACTGCAGCTAAGGGCCCACAGGCTCACAACCCACCTAATTTTCCTTCCTAACTCTCTCCGTGGTGGCATTTTTGGAAAGTAGAGGAGAAACATGAATATACTCACGGAACATGGTATAGAATTGCTGTGGGTTCAGATTCCATTTGCCCCAGGGGGTCTTGTGGCCTTTTGACTGGGCATAGTTAGCGTGGTTAAACTCTGGCTCGGTGCCAAATGAATCTAGGACTCGGAGCATACACCTGAAAGAGAGAAGTTTTGTGGGTAAAACTATAACCTTTGGCCCCAAAGCTCACAGAGTAAAAGCTCTAACCCCTCCACAGGGACTTCCAAAAATGGACAAATCCTTTTCAATAATAATGCTACTGGGTGGGCCTCCCCAGTGGCACAACGGGATGAGTGCCAGGCTGTGAAGCTGTCCACAGCCTCTCCAGCATGAGTTAGATTCCCAGCCAGCCAGGGAAAAACCAACATGGCGTGGCAGACCTCTCCTGTCTCACCCGCTGCTCCCCTCAGCAGTGTCTTTGGTCTGTCTGCCTGTTCTGTTCCCTGCTCTGTCTCTGGTGAATGCTCTCAACCTCCCATGCCTCTGACCTGTACCCCAGTTCTTGTATAAATAAAATAAATCTTAAAAAGATATATAAATAAAAATAAAACAATGCTATAATAATGGGTGGTATTGCGAGATCTTTAGAATACCTTGTATAACAAACATCTCCCATGTGGCTCCCATGTGGCTTGTCAGCTGGAGTCATCACACAAGAGACAAAATTTGCTTCAGATAATTTGACTAATCAAGGAAGACTAATCAAATACCAGTGAAACACAGTTCCATATAAGCTGGAACTGCAGACTCCCATGCTCACTGCTGCACCTCTAGCCAGGTGCCTAACAGACAGTTGCTGAGGAGGAAAAGAACTACCATTTTTACAGGTTGCTATAACCTTGATGTTGATGATGATCCTGAAATTCATATGCTGAATGCTCAACTCCAAAGGTGATGGTATTAACAGATGGGACTTTTGGGGGGTGATTAGATCATTTGGGTAGTCCCCAGAATGGAACTGGTGCCCTGATATAAAAGATTCAACAGAGCTCCCTAGCTCCTTCTGTTTATGAGGCTACAACTAGAAGTCTGTGGCCTAGAAGAGAGACATTACCCAGACCGGCTGAAACCCTGAGCTGGGATTTCCAGATTCCAAAACTGTGAGCAATAAATGTATGATGTTCTTTGGGTACATTCCTCGGAGTGGAATTGCTGGGTCATATGGAAGCTCCATTTTTAGTAGTTTGAGGAACCTCCCCACAGCTTTCCATTGTGGTCTACCCAAAGAACATGAAAACATTAATTCAAAATGATACCTACACCCCTATGCTTATTGCGGTACTATTTACAATAGGTAAGATATGGAATAACCCAAATGCCCACAAATAGATGACTGGATCAAGAAGATGTCGTATATATACACATTGGAATATTACTCAGCTATCAAAAAAGATAAACTCATGCCATTCACAGCAACATGGATGGAGCTGGAAGGATTATAATCAGTGAAATAAGCCAGAAAGAAAAAGAAAGATATAAGATGGTTTAACTTATAGAAAGAATATAGGGAAACCAAATAAGGGATCAGGAAAAAATAATTATGACAAATAAACAAAATTAACAGGCAACTATAAATCAGACATTCTGCAGGGGATGGGGAGGGAGAGGAATCAAAACAGGGGAGGAAGAGCACAAGGGAATATGGTGATGGTGCAGGGGTGAATTGGTGGTGGGAATTTTAGGCAGACTACACTTGAGAGGAGAAAGCATACGTTGTACAAAAAGGAAGAATGATGTAAGGTAATTTGTTACCTCAACCTAAGGGACTAAAATGGAGGTCTTATCCCACTTAAAGCACATGGCAAGCCTGTCACTTTCAACAACCATGCAACATTTTTATCAACTAGAATGATTATGTGAGAGCAGATAAGACTTAAGACTCTCATTCAATAGGCAGTGGTTATATCTATGTAATATAGTAACAACATTATTACCTTCTCCCAGAGCCTAAAGAATTGAAATGAAAAGTGTGTCATTGACTGTTCTACCAAAGCCTTAGAATAGGGTGAATCTACCCAAATCTGGTTTACTTCCATTTTTGTCAGGCCTATGAGCTAAGAATAAGTCTTTATGTTTTAAATGGTAAAAAAGGAGAATATTTTGTGAAATAGTCTTTACATAAAATTATATGAAATTCAATGATCAGAATTCAAAACTAACAATCTTACTTGAACACAGGCTCACCCAGCTGTGTGCACATAGGCTATAGCTGCTTTCACATAGAAACAATGAAATGCAGTAGCTGCAAAACACACCAAATGGCCTGAAAAGCATTAAATATTTACCATCTGGCCCTTGAAAGAAAAGGCGTGCTGACCACTGCCTTAGTGTACACAAAGAATGACTAATAATTAGAAAAGAATCACACCAACAAGAGTATCGACTCATTTTGGTTACATTCATTACATCACCAATTCCCCAAACACTGATGTACAGTTACCTCATGACTCCACGGTAGAAACAACACTACATTCTGTTGCTATGTATTAATGCTTCTAAGTTCCTTTATTGGACCAATAAGCATAAAAACAAAGGTAAAAGACCACATTTTAGAATCAGATGACAGCAATGACCTTGGTATCCTGATTCAGTTTATTTCTTCCTTTCCCCATTACTATGAAGTCATTTTTTCAGCTTTTTACTTTCACATCAATGTGCAATTCAGAAAAAAAAAATGCAAACACCCAATTGGATTTTCCAGGAAGAGCAATAGTCAATCGCCATTTTAGTGTGATGATTTTTCTCATCAGAGACCACCGCCTTATCTATCCAGATAAGGAAGGGGAGAGAAAGCAAAGGGGAAGGAGGAGGGCGGGGCCACCAGAAACTCGCCATCATCACAGTGACGATTTTCACAGTGTCAGCCAGAACGTGTCTTTAGCTGGCAGTCAATGGCAGGCAGAAAAAGCAGCGCACAGTGCAGGAAAAAGAAAGCTGGGACCAAAGGAACTGACTGAAGCTTGCTTTGCCTACTCTTGCATAGCCCAGAGTATTCCTTTTCTTAATAAAATAATCTCATTTCTTAGCTTATTTTTTTTCCTTTTAAAATGAGACACAAAACCAACTGGTTGAATCCAATATATTTTCTTCTGAGAAAGATGGCAATGTCCAGAGAGCAGCAAGGATGACAGTGGCAGTTCTGTGGAAGGTCACTGTTCAGGGAGGCGGGGATAGAACCCGCACTGCAGAGGCTGCCGACATCCTCACAGTGCTGTGCTCAACCGCCTGTGCCACCAGAGAGGCCCTAATTTTTTTTAGTCTTATCTAGATTTGTTTTATAAAGAGGCAGGACACTGGGGAGGCTGAACATTAGTTTCCCTTCTTCGATCACTTTCCACATTTGTGTACCCTGGAACTCTGTGTTGTTAATATCTATGCCATTCCACTAACATCTTTTATGTGTCTGTAGCATCAGCCACAGACTGATAACTTAGAAAGATATTTGCCTTGCTACCCGAGGCAACTGGCCTCCCCCTAAGAAGGATGCAGCAGCAGTGCCAAATAACTCCTGAAAAAGCCTCTTTGCTATAAGCCACACCATTAGAGATGGATGCTCACCAAGTCCTTGTCAGGACATACTTTCTCATTTGAAGCATGATGCAAAACCTGGACTATCTTCCATTATCTACACCTCACTCTCCTGTGTGTCCTCAATGGTCAGCAAATGCCTACCATCAGGCAGAACGGAGATAAGCTTTGCAATACATCATAGTGTACAAGTCCTATATAGTTTTTAATTAATCTTTACTTACATTTTGAGGGGGGGTCCCTACACAAATTGGACAGAAATTACAAAGATTTTTCTAAGATCAAAAGTATTTAAGGATTTGCTCTTAAATGAAAAATCATAGGATAACTTTGCATGTAATGGGATTCACAATAGTCACATTACCCAAGGTGAATACGGAAAGACCTGACATTTTCTAATCTGCGAAAGGGAAAGAAATGGGCAAGAAATTTTGTAGAGTTTCGCCTGATCCTTTGATGAAATCATAGCAGCATGCCACAAAGGCTGAAGGGCTAAAGTACCTCCAGACCTCCTGCTAGCCAATGTTACTAACATAGATGATCTATCAAAGAAAGGAAAAGCAATAAACATTACACTCGTCCCAAACCCCCCTCTGAGATGGAGCCTTTCTATTCGACAAGAATCAAATACCAATCAACAGTGACCATTTTAATAATGAAATTATCCTTTTTAATTGACCTAAACACTACCGCTGAGAATATTTTTCCATCCAGACAGGCCTTCTGAATGGAGGGGGTATGTAAGTCTGGCGATTTCTGTAATGCCTGGTTCCTTTTGTACATTTATCAGATGCCTGTCATTCTCAAAATGCCAGAAAACAGCAGCTCTGCTTTTCTTTTCTAACACTCTAACGAAAAAGAAAAATGTTTGTTTACTTATACTGCTTTTTAACCAAGAAGAAAATGTATTTCTACATAACTGAGAGTGAATGCGAAATGCAAAGGCCTATGATTCATGAAGATTACAAGCAAAATACTAACCAAAAACCAGAAAATAACTGAAGCAGAAGGGACACTGCGATTCCGGCCCAAGCCAAGATTTTTCTTTGCCTTTTTATAAAACTATATCGAAAGCAAATGAAAAGTGCATGGTCTTGTCTCAATCAACCATTTTCCTTTGTCCACCAGAGTTTCACTGCCCAGTGAGAAAATCATTGGTACTGAAAAGAAAATTCAACTAAAAATGATCATTGCCCTCACTCTGTATTTCTGAGACTATTCTCAATATTTTGAATTTTTATTTCTCTCAAATGTCTAAAGGATTTCCAATCTGACTTAAACTTGCAGGCTAGAGTTTATTATTATTATTATTAGTTTATGATTATTAGAGTTTATGATTATTAGCTCAGGTCACTAAGAGTGCACTTATTGGTTATTAGAATGACATATCAAAAGATCTCTATAACTAAAAACAATAAAAAAGAAATACTTGGGAGAATTTCCAAGTTGTACTAATTGAAAGATCTACAGTGTAGACTTTTAGGAAGGTCAAACTGCAGGCCAATACATACTATAAGTTGATAGATGGTACTAACTTCATAATTTTTACACAAGTTCATGTCTCACTGACACTGCTAAATAAAATCTGATGCTTATTTAGATATATTTACCTTTGAATTTCATTGGAAACTTTTATAGGCCATAAATATGGTATTAACTGCAATAAACAGAAGATAACCAAGAATGTATTTTACTCTTCTTCTGAAAGTATTATCAGATTCTACTGAAGGCAGAGACTTACTTTCATTTCGTTAGAAACAAATGCAAGTATTAAAATAAGTATTGAAGACACCGCAACATCAAACAAAGTCTTTTTCAGAGAGAATGAAAGAATTTCAGAGAGAATGAAAGAATAAAGAATAAACTTCATGATATTATTCAGTGCTATTTAGTGCCACATAAAATCATTTCAAATATTAAATCATGGTTCTAAAGACACACTCAGGAAAGGAGCAAGAGTTATTCTTCCATAACAGAAAGACTGGACAGAGAGGCTCATGCACGCTAGTCATACTGTTACAGGGTTTACTCTCCATAAAGAGAATGTTCCCTGCCCTGCCTAATGAAGGGTAGAGTTGAGTGGGGAGGAGAAGCTGAAGAAGAGAGGGAGAAGAGTCTTGCAGATGAGATATGGAGAAGACATATAAAATAGAGACACATGTGAAAAAGTCATACTTGCTTCTCGGCTTTGGATTTGGGGAACACGGACAGAGACGAATGAAGTCAAGAGCTATAGAAACACTCGGAAGAGATGTGGGTGAGGAGCTGTGAGGAGGCTGACAATGGCAGCTTTTACCTTGATTTGGACCTTGATTTTGCTCCTTTCCTTTTTGCCTGGCCCCTGCTACCCTTTTCCATGGTTCCCCACCATAAGGTGCCTTAGACTTGTGGCATGCTTTGAAGCCTCAGTGGCTCTGCTTTGGGCCAGCCCTGTTTGGCTGGGCATTTACCCAGGAGGGGATGGGTAACTATGGGTGTTTCACTGGGAAACTATTATCCTTTCTTTTCTTCTCTCTTGATACACAATGATCCTATTACAGTTCTTTCCTAGTCAAGTTCATTCACAGGAAGAGTTTGCTTTGTCTTTATGTGGCGGATGGCAGAACTCAATACTAAGTATGAGGCTTATTGAAAAAAACACAAGGCCCAGGAATTCAGACGTTATTCCCAGCTTTATCTCCTAAAAATGATAAGAATTGTGATGAGGGGAAGGGGGAGAGAAATGAGTCATCATCTCAACCTAGAAAATATAAGAAATGGCACTGTCCATATTTTATCAAAATCATTACTTGATTAAAGAGATGAGATTGGTGTAGGCATACTGAGAGGGATGTGAAATACTAAGGAGGTTAAAAAAAAAAAGAGGCTGGGCCCTTGTTTTCTATTCTTAAAAGAAATCAATGAAGATAATGAATAGCCCTTGAAAGTAAAAACTCACCATAGACAATCAGAATTTCAATTAGGAACGAGAAACATACTCCACACGGTTCAAAAAATAACATTTGATAAGCTTTTCAACCTACAACAACATAAACCTTACTTTTTTTTTTTTTTAATTTAAGTGCTAAAATCTTAAGAACAGCATGCAGTACTTACTGGTAATGAACCCAGGATGGTCCAAGAGTTTTCTTGAATTGAGCGAGTCCTACAATATCAATATAAATGAGCTCAACAATTTTGTCTCCTACAGTTGGGCAGCCTGATCGGTTTCCTACAACCTTCTTCATTATTCTAGAGAAAGGGCAGAAGAGAAAAGAAACCATTTACTTCAATGTACTACACACAGCAACTTTAATAGCCAAATAAACATCCTAAGAATCCTTATCAGAGAGGATGGCATAGCTGTTCTCAATCTGCTACCTATACAAATTATGCCCACCCATCAAGGCCCATTCAGAGAACTTATTCTGAGTCTTGCAAACCCACATGGTGGTGTATAAACACAGCCTTTGAAGGCAGGGAGATACAGGTCTGAATCTGTTCCTACTATAGCAGCTACGAGATTTTAGATAAATTACTAACCTCTCTGCAACTTTCTTCATCCTCAACAAATACCCGAGAAACAAAAAATCATAAATGATACCAGCTTCTCAGAAATTCTTCCAGAGGCTAAACAAGGTGCTGAAAAAAAAGTGTCTCATGTACAGATTTCCCATTGACTATCAGCATTCTCCCACAGAGCCTGTTCTTATTACTTCAGCCCTTATTAACCTCCTGAATGTCTTCAATTTCCAGTCTCTACAGTATAAACTTCTTTACATACTGTCTTGTACTATTTCCTGATTTTTTTTCCTTAGGTCAAAATTTCCCCTTTCTACCAAATTGTACATCAAAACTGGTACTATGGTTTCCATCTCCACACCCATTCATCCAACCATCCATCCATCCATCCATCCATCCATCCATCCATCCATCCATCCATCCATCCATCCATCCATCCATCCATCCATCACTGCCTTTGTCCTCAAAGCCATCATACTTCACTATACACCAGCTTCACATGTGGGAATAAATAACTGAACAGAAATGCCATTCACCCAGACATGGGTCATCAGTGATGACACTTGCTGGTGCTCGCATTCTATTTAACATTCCTTCACCAAATTATGGACATCCTAGTCCAGAAGACGAGAGTCTTGACTCCACTGCCACCACTTTACACATCTTTCTGTTCTCTGGGTTTCTGAAAAAGCTGGGCTCTGGAGAACCTATTTTTTCCCCACAAGAATTCAATTTTTGTTCTCTATAGTAACTATTTCTATCTTTTCAGGCTACCATTCTCTGTCTTATCTATGCTGTCATTGTAGAATGAAAACAGTCATAAGCAATACATTAGAAATGGGTGTGGCTGTGTTCCCAGGAAGCTTTATTAACAAAAAACAGGCAGAGGACTGGATTTGGTCTGTGGAGCCATACTCTGCTGACTTCTGGCCCACCCTACTATTCAGTGGTTCCCAAATTTGTCTGCAAATTGAGATTACCTGGGAGACATCAAAAGATATCTGTGTCAACCCCAAAGGTTGTGATTTAAGTAGTCTGATACATGACCTGGGCTTTGGAAGTCTATAAAGACCCCTAAGGGATTCTAATGTACATCTAAGTTCAGGATCTACTGTTATAAGTTGCTTCCCCAACTATCTTCTTCAATAAAATACATCTGACTTTGTCATCAGTGTTTAAAGAACAGTGTAACTTCATCTTGACCACCAAATTAAGTCTTTGACTGCTAGACTCCTAATATGGCTGCTCTGACCTCCCTAGGGAGCAACTGTACTTGGTGCTTTCATTTGCTTAGCCACCTACCCATTCATGCATTTATCCATTCATCCATCCAGGGAATCATCCCTTTTTTCCTTTTTTCAGTAAAGAGTTGAACACTCACTGTGTGCTAGGCACTATTCTACATGCATAATAAGCTGTAGTTATGGACAACACTCAATAGTTTCTGCAATCCTTGTGCTTACATTCTAGCAGCCACACCTCAATTAGTACTAATCACATTGTAATTAGTATAATTATTATGTATTAGTTGTAATTATCAAAAGATTGGCATCTCCTTGACCACATGTGGTCCCCTCTGTGTATCCCATATCAGGAACTAGCCCACAGAAAGCACTGGAAGAATGACTGCTGAATGTATGAAAGCATCTACTTCATTGGTCATATACCCAATGTGTTTCAAAGGAGACAAGAGTAGGGCTGACAAGAGGCAGCAAGCTAAAGGGACAAGGGTGGTGAGTAAGGATTCAGCAGCCCTCATGTTATCTAGATCTGAAAGAAGCAATATAGTACAGTGGGTAAGAACACAGGCTTTGAAGTCAGACAGACACAGAGCCCAAATCCTAGTTCTCCTATGTATTCTCCATGTGACCTGAAAACTCATCTTGGGCTTGAACTTCAGTTTCATCTTTACAATACAGAGATCAACAGCACCTACTTCCACATTTGCCCTAAGAACTAAGTAACATAAAATATGTAATGCATTTAGTATCTGGTACATATTAACTATTCAACAGGTGTCAGCTGTTCCTTATCACCAATATTGTGTCATAATAGTTGATACTACTCTTGCAACTGAAGTCAGTGTCATGGTTTAGGCATATGGAAACCTATCCATCAGTGACAGCTGGTATTATCATACTGCTATTACTACTTTTATCACAACACTTCCTCCAATCAGGTTTCAGACTCCAACTTAACACAAGTGACTTCTCCATCTTTAGAATGTTCATTCAAGGTATTTCTTCTAGAACATTTGACATATTACAACATGGTAACTAGGCTGTTGGGCAGAAAGTCTCTTGGGCAATTATCCAAAGGAGTAAAGGGAATTTAGGCATTCCTGCTTTGCCAGCTGTGTCAATCTAAAAAGGATTAGGAGGGGGGTAGAGCCAGAAGCAAATTTTAGTGAAACAGAAAACCCAGGTAGAGTTAACAGATTCAGAGTTGAAAGTTGGCTAATTGAAAAAGGATTGGATCAGAGCTTTCAGGAAATTCATTTTATCCAAATTAAATTATAAACAGGAACCTGCCCTGTTTTAAGATTGCAAAAGCTTGATGTTGAGTAGGGAATGGTATGAATTTCAGCAAGAGACAGGGAATTAGGGAAGTCAATAATGTTTTGTGCTGCAGATGTTGGAAGCACCTGTAATAGCAAAGAATAAGCTCCTTAGTTTGAATTTTCTGGCATTCATTTATGAAGCCTCTGGAGCTTGCAGCTACAATGAAAACATATCCTTTTCACAGTGTATGTATTTAGCTCCTGAAAATAATCTTCTTATCTTCTGTTTAGTGAATTATCACTTTCATTTTCCTCCGCAAGAAATTACACACTAATAGAGGGCTTTAAGAGTTTACAATTTCTTTTTTGTATTCTGATTTTAAAATTGAAAAGTAATCTCCTTACTCCTTGAGCTCAGCCAGTGAAGCTGAAATCCTAATGTCATGGCCCAGTAAATACAGAGATGTAATTAAATCACTCCACTGAACTAATTCACCAAGAGGGCCACCACTGAAAGCTGTCTCTGCAATCTTAAATCCAGATTCCTTAGTCAGGAGTCCCAAGTGAACAAGGACCTGAAAAAAAAAAAAAGAAGAAACATAGACTGATTCCCAGTGAGCCATGTACAAACTCCACAGTAACACACCAAAAAGTCATCAACCAATTCTAAAGTCATGTTTACATTCTAATATAACCTCAAGGTGGATAAGTCGTTTTTCTAGAAGGTAGAAAGAAAGGAAAGAAATGATTCTTCACTGTTGATTGAGAGAAATACGGTCATTACTGCCCTGTTTTGGCTATGAGCATGCGATACGGGCAGATCCTGCCTTTATAAAGCAGAATAAAATTTAAAAATCAGATTAAAAGAGGAAGTCATAAGAAAAACATATCATTTAACAAATATTGGGGATTTTCCAGATATTTAACTTTTTGACATGGGAAAAAAAATTCATGAACATACAAAATTAGAACTGACAATATAATCAATCCCAATGTATTCATCAAGTAACTTTGACAATTGCCAACTCATGACAAATCTTTTTTAAGGTAATTTTCTCTAAACCCCTATAATCCCTACTTGTTATTTTGAAACAAATGCTAGATATCGTATTTTCTTCTTTCATCTATAAATATTTCACCATGTATCTCTAAAAGAAACCTTCACTTAAAAAAACCAGAACATCACCATCACTTATAAAATATCAATTAAATTTTTAATATCATTCAATATCCAGTTAGTGTTTACACTTCTTCAACTGTCCCTTATTGTTTTCAAGTACAGTTGTTCACATCAGAAGTCAAATAAAGTACATAAATTAGATCTGCCTCATATCTCTTTGGTTTAATTTATACTGGTTCATGATTGCCCTTTTTTGAGGAGTGGGGGCTTACAGTTTGTCAAAGAAACAAGGGTCTATATCCACTTTGAAATTTACTGATTGTGAAACAGATTTTTTTTTTCCCTTGTATTTATGGTAAATTAGTAATCAGATCTACAAACGGGGTGAAATTCATATTAGATTTTTTTTGGCAAAGCTACATTGGAGGTTGTGCTGTGTACTTCAATCTGTGTGTCTATTTTGTGTTGTCAGTAGCTACTGGAGATCACTCAGTGCATTAATGCATTAGGGGTGGCAAATGTGAATAACCCATCTTTTTTTCCTGTATTCATCAGCTAGGCTACTTTTTATAAAGAGAAAGTAACTTATTAACTACATGGTTACCCTTACCCTGAGGTTCAGTTTAGGTAGAAAAAGCCTGGAGAATATCTGATTATCAGTTTTCACAAAAACTAATTATCTTATTGATGAACAATAAGGTCTTTAAAAAATCATCATAAAATCATCTATATTAGTACATGTTATGTGCTTCAAAATATCATAGTTATTATCCATATTGGTTATCAAGCTGTCCCATTTTGGTCAATGGGAGGCATCTGAAGTTGGCTTCTAAGTTCTTTTGACCCAAAACCTTCTTTGCTCTCGGTATAACAAGGTGTTCCAAGCTCATTATGTATAACTTCTGTATCAGATTCGAATCAGCCATTTTTCTAAGAACCTCCTACATATTTAGAGATTCAAGTCTAGTGTTTAGAATACTCTAATTTATCACTGTGAGTAGGTCTTTTCAATGGACATGGCCAGAAAATTTAGTTTTTCCTCAAGAATGAAACAAATCATGAGTTCATACTGGTTTTTACAATTCGAATTCAGGGTTATAGTTATATATAACATTATCCATTTTACATTTGCTGTTTCTTCTCTCCCGGACTGAAAATCCTTGTTCTCAAAGACACCAAAATAATTAATTTCTCATCTGCTTTATTCCAACACACACAATGATACTCCAGAGAGTATCAACACTACCACCTAGTACATGACTAACATTTTAAGACATTTTTGCAGTTTTGTTCTGTGTGATATCCCATCAGAAAAATGAACTTACTGTGTCCTAAAGTTACTGAGTATCCTTCTCCATGTGCTTATAGCAAAACTGAATATGTAGTCAGTTCACTTGCTTTATTTTTGTGTGAATTTTTGTTATTAAAATTTGCTTTTTACTTGTGTAAAGTGATTCCAGGGTCAAATCTAAAAAGTAAGGTATTCAGAGAAGTTGAGTTTCTTTACATGTTACCTCCATGCAATCCCTGTACCTTTTCAACTTAACCATTTTAATCATTTTTATGAGTACAGTTCGTTCGCTCAAAGTATATTCAGATTACCTGCAACCATGACCACTATCCACCTCCTATACTTAAAATTTTAAGGTTTATCTGTGTGTTTTTTAAAATAAGAGCAAGAAACATGTATTATGGTTATTTTGTTACATAATATACATATATATGTATATATGTAAGTATATAAATAGATAAATTTCTCTTCCTTTAAAAAATAATGTTCACTATCCTTCAGCTAACAGTTCTTCACCTAACACCATATCCTGGAGATTACTATAATTTTTTTTTTATAGCCTACATGGATTTCTTTAATACAGGACTATTTGGTGCCATAAAGTTTGGTATTGTCTTATCAATTCAGGGATCTAAGCAACTTTGATATATCAAGCTGTGAGCTGGGGATTTACAAATGTATCTGTATTTTCTTTTATGATGATATCAAATTAGTAAATCAGGGATACCAAGCTCTTTTTAATTTACTCTTAGCTAGGGGAACAGATGGTTTACTTTGTTCTGTTGTTCTTCATCAGAACATTAAATATAAAGCTATGGCCACTTTATCTCTACTTAATAGGGTATAAGATCTTTCATGCTGAGGGATATTATAGACATTTTTCCATGCATCTTCTCATGAACTTGAAATAACCTTGCTCAAATTTAGCTTATAGTATGTCTCTTAGGAACATAAGCAAAAGCATCAAACAGAGCAGCAATGTAACTCAACAGCCATATCAGCCCCAAAATTGATGAGTATCAAAAATATAAAAATTCTCAAGATATTAACAGAAAATTCTCAAAGGTTCTATTCAGGTAAAGAAAGGGGGCTACATTGTCTGAGAAGAATGGGATAAACACTGAGAGAAATGGTCCGATGGCTCATAGGAAAGCCTTGCAGGCAAATATTCTGCTTAGCTTCACCTAAAAAACATGTGTGTCAGTCCTTGCTAAGTAAGACTGCTGTAACTGGAGAAAGGAAAACACAAAAATGGCAGTACAGGATCCTGTGCAGAATCACCCTAAGGAAACATCATTTGAGACATGACACTTCTCTTAGTCTTGTTTCCAATCAAAACCAGATTTTCAAAGAAATCTGGCACCTAACTGAACTGAATTAATCAGAAACTCACTTTCTTCCTTTTTCTCTTTTCAAGATTCTGCTTTTCTGCCAGGGACTTGATTGCTTGGATCCAAGCATCAGCCATTCGTCGGATCCGTAGTCTCATCCACCGGAATTCTTCATGCTTTTTCATCATACCATGGAGAATATTAAAATCCGTACGAATTTCTGCCTAGAAACAAAAATTTAATAAAAATGAGAAGATAAAAAGTCAGAAAGCACAATGGATTTTGTGACGTGACATTTGAAAACTTAAGCAATAGTCAATTAAATTCAAAGCTTCAAAAGTGAGTCTGGTCTGCCGCACAGTTTCTCTTTAAGGTCCCAAGATTGTAAATTGAAGCAAAGATCCTGGCTGAGCTGCTTTAAGGGGCATCATTTAAAAATTAAAAATTGAGAAAGGTGAAAGAGTCACTGCAAATTACTGAGCTGTGCTAAAATGCTTTTTTTTTTATAATGAGTATGCTTGATGTACCTTGAATTTTTCTGCACCCAAATGTATTGCCTTTTAATTTACTGCAAGGCAGCAGACTCCTGGAAAAACTCAGGTCAGTTCTCAAAAGGCTATCTAGTATTGTGTGGACTACCATAAAGTCTCATTCTGTCCACAAAGTCAAGTAGAAAAACCAATGTGCCCTTCTAGTTTTTCCCAGTTCAAACAACAAAAAAATTCAGTATAAGTTATGGAATTTAAAAGCAAGGAGTACCATTTTCCTACCACAGCTGAATAAAATCTAAACTAGAATAACTTAAAATCTAGGAAGATCATTGTTCTAATATAGCTGGATATAATCAGTGACTGATAACAGAATAATATTGCTTGTATTTATTTCATGTAACATCTGAGACATCCTGAATTCACACTGCAGTCGTAACCATAGTTCATTCTAAATGTTCATCTGCTCCTGTCCCTCTCCGACTCAACAATTTCACAAGATTCTCATGTTCTAAAGCATGGGGTCCAACTCTTGGGTCAAATCCTCCTCAGTGCCCCTTTAAAAATTTTTTTATTTTAATTTATTTATTAATTTATTTTAATTAACTTTATTAATTAATTTATTTTTAAAGACATGTATTTATTTATACAAGCACTGGGTATAGTCAGAAGCGTGGGAGGGTGAGAGGATTCACCAGAGCCAGAGTGGGGAGCAGAACAGGCAGACTGACAAAATACACTGCTAAGGGGAGCAGTGGGTGTGGCAGGAGAGGTCTGCATGCCATGTGGGTTGCTCCCTGGCCGGCTGGGGATCGAACTCTAACTTGTGCTGCAGAGGCTGTGGATTGCTTCACAATGTGGTGCTTAACCCCTTGCGCCACCACGGAGGCCCCTCACTCATCATTTTAAATTCAGCTCCAACATCATCTCCTTGCCATCTCTCCTGATCCCTGAGAGATTCTCACTCCTTCATTAATTCCAGGGACTTGTATCTAAGCAATTCCACAGGTATGAACATTATTTACAAACAACACTCTCATTATATCACTGAGTGTGTACTAGTCTGGCGTCAGATCTTACTGATATTAGCAGCCTATCACTTAGCAACCCTCAGGGAATTACTGGGTGGCTGGGTTTTATCTGGTTGACTAATTTGGTCATCTAGATTTCCACAGGACTGTGGGTAGAAGTTTATTAGTTTACCACTATTTCAGATAATAGCTGACATTTCAGAAGATTCCACATGCATGCATCACTTGGCATCAGACCCAAATCACAAAAATAGTATGAAGTTTCCAAGAGCACTTACCAAAGAATTATGATCCGCTTCTTCATAGGGATTTTTTATTCTCCAAGGTAAACGAGGACACCAATTTTCAACCTTGAAAATATAAATCAGAGACACTAAGTATGCTAGCTCATCTGTAAATGAATTAATGTACGGGCAAAGCACTTAGCACAGTTACTGGCACACAATGAGCCCTATACTTAAGTGAGTTGTTATTATTAGTCAGACGCCATGCTTTTAGCCAGCATCTAGACAGAGACAGGTGCTCTCTCACAGTCATTAGTGGTCCCATGGAAGACTCAACTACGCATTACATCTACCCTTAAAATACCTTTTAGGGACCGATGCCTTATCATTTAATCTTAGTACGCTACCTCAGAAGGAGCGGGGGTCCTACGGCAGAAAGTTAAAAGACGTGAAGATTGCCATAGGGAAGTAAGAGCGTAAAGGCGCCTCTGTCGCTAGTAAAAGGACTGGGATGATTTGTGATGACGGTGGTATGTCTGGAAAGGAAACAGTATAGCATTTAAGCCACAAAACTCAATTATTTATCTCAAATTAGAAATGCAAGTTTAAGGCTAACTGATTAAAGTTTTTCTTCATTTTCTGGCTGTTCGTTTCCCACTATCCCAAAAAGAAAGGTGGTTAAACCTACTAGAGAAAGAGATGGAAGGGAAAAGAAAACATAGTGATCTGTGAAAGTAATTCTGGAGGATGGATTGTTCTGTCAATGCACATGAGTTGCGAGTTAGGGGGAGGAGAAAAGAGAAGGAAAAAGTACTAGATTTTCAAGGGTTGGCTTCCATAATGGTTGTCAAAGGAAATTAGGCAAATTCATAATTTCTAGTAAAGGAAAGATGAAAAATGCATTGAATAATACTAATGTGTAGATTTCTTTTATGGGGGGGGTTCAAAATGGTCATTAATCCCAAGAGTTTACATAATCCACTACTAATACATAGTGAGATTATTAAAGATTGAATTTTTTATAATTTTATTGACTTCTGAATTTTTTTAATTACACAGTTATTGAATTTTTTAAATAATTTTTCGGTGGGCCTATAAAATGAACACAGCAAGAGGGTGGGGGGCATCACTGGAGGGCTGCTGAGAAGGCAAAGACAGAAGGCAAAGACAGGCTAATTCCAGTCTCTGGAATTAGAAGAATAGAGTCAAGCAAGACAAATTTTTCTCTCACTGTGGATGAGTTTTCAAAGAAACGCAGCAGTCTCAGAATCTACAATATCAGGCACACCTCAAAGACATTATTGAGCGTTCGGTTCCAGATCACAGCAATGAAGTCAATGGTGCACTAAAACCACTTCACACGCAGTTTCTGTTTTCCCAGTACCTATAAACATTCTGTTTACACTATGATCTATTGTATGCAATAGCATTATGTCTTTAAACAACAAAACAGTGTATCTACTTTAAATTGGCAAGGAGACATGAAGTGAGCACATGCTGTTGGAAAAATGGTGCCAACAAACTTGTTGGATGTAGAGTTACCACAAATTCTTAAGTTATAACAACAAAAAAAATGAGGAATACTGCTGTGAAAAGTAACGCACAATAAAGTAAGGTATGGCTGTACTCTTAATGCAAGGGGATTTTTATTCTGGGCCAGCCCCTTCTCCAAAACATTCTGGTAGATATACATAAAGCCATCAGCGACTGCAGTTTCTGAAAGCAATAAACACAGGCAACAAAGCTCAGGGGGGTAGACTCTCCAGATAGGGAAAGTGCAATACCCTCCCTTACTCCTTGTGGAAAAAAATTAGACTTTACCATATTTGTGAATGACTTCATAGACTTAAAATGATTCCCCATAAGGAAAGCTGAAATTGTTCTACTTGTTTAGAGCGAGAGAAAGAAACTGACTTGTTTTGGACGCCCAAGTCTAATTAATTAGTGAGACCTTACAGCAATATCACTGTGAAAAGCAGTATCTGAAACACCACTAATGAGAAAAAAGAGGGGAAACGAGCAGAAAAGAAGCCTGCATGTCAATGAAGGCTCAGTTGGTACCAGCAGCAATGGACACGTGAATACCTTGTATTCTTAGGCTGGATTAAAGCATATAATTCAAATTAAAGTTCTGTAAATTGGCTCAGTAAAACACTGCTATGAAGCAGATTTATAACACAAAGGCTTCAAATGGATTGCCTATCTGACTGTGAGACCTTCAACCCCACACAAAAATGATAAGGATGAGCAGTGTACAGCTTTGAAGTCAACCTCACATTAAATAGATAAGTGTACAGGGTAACTTATCAGAATAAAGAATTTCCCCATGAATAACATAATAGGAAAAGATGAAATGAGACTGACTATAGATAAAGTAAATCTACCAAAAGGAGAGACATTAGTAAGACGAGATGTTGATAAAGGCGAATATATTTCCCTCTCCAATACCCTAACAAGAATCTTCAAAAATTCAGATGAAAATAGAGTCCAAGGTGATTTTTCTAAAATATGACTTCCCTACAGAATACTAAAGACTTTATTTCTCTTTGAGACTGATCATCTATCTCAGGTCTCTTTACTCAAAATCACTGGATAATACTTTGTAGACTTCAAGGGCATCCCTGAAAGTGTGGAAAATGTTGTCTATTTTAACTTTTAGCAACAAATCTTCATTACATATTCATTTGCAATGGAGGAAAAATCAATTATGAACATCTTGACAGAATTAGGAGGGTAGGTTTTCTGAGACTTGTTTATTCACAGTGATAGGATAACTGGCTAACAAATAATTAAATTATACATAAACCAATTACTCCATGGGAATAGGGGGGTTAAAACGCCCTGGCTTTCTGAAACCTCAGAGGATCACCAGGATGGGAAAAAGCCAGCACTGGAAATAACTCTGTGTACTAAAAAAAACAGGCCTCAAATGAGCAACATTTTCCTAAATAAGAGAATCATCAATAACACTTGGGGAAAATTTTGCTTAAGGCTAATAACCCACCTCCTAATCCCTTACTTGGTTTTCTACTTGATCTATCCAAGATCCTTTAAGGACTTTACCATCCCTGGTATAGGATCCCACAAACTTGGATAAGTCCACTGCCTTCTTGATGTGGTGACATGTCTATTTCAAATCTTCTTGCTATCTCTGCTGGCTTTCAGAACCCAACTGCCCTTTTCCTGTCTGTGGTTGCCTTCCTTTGCCCACTGCCTTGGGTACACTTTACCTTGTTCTGTCTCTGACACAGGATTTTATATTTGCCCTCTGTGCAGGCCCTGGACACAAATTCCACACTCCTGCCCAACTCTTGAGAGCTGGCAAGTTCTGTCTTAAACCCTCTGGCAGGGACGAGACAGGTATTGTTGAAATAATCCAGAAATGAGCACACTAAGTCTAAGAATTGAAAACCATCTGAGTTCATGGCAACACACACCCATCAATCAATAGAGAAGCAGAACTAATAACCTTCGATTTGAAGGGAAAACTCCTTCAATAGGAACTAATCTTTTCAGTGAACTAGCTTAGGCCATAAAATGAAAGGCAGCAAAACGAGAAGATGACCAGCCAGGTTAGAACTTTAGAACTTTAATGCAAATTCCAGAGAGAGGGGCCTACAAATCACTCTTCTTGAATGGTAAAACATAAAAAGAATCAATTTAATTTTTCTCCTCCCCATGATCTGAACTTCTCTGACCTGAGAAAGATCTGCAGCTTAATCATGAGTGATGTGAATTGCAACAGAGCTCAAGAGGGTGAGTTTTACTACCAACATAATATGGGAAGGATAATTGATTATGTTTAAAAACAAAACAAAACAAAACACCTGCCAGTTGGTCTACACTTACATAATTCTAGTTGGAATTTAAAGGGGGAAAGAAGTAATAAAACGACAGCAAAAATTAGTAGTAGGAGATTTAATACATGCATATACTTAGGTATAAATAGTTAAACTCTGCAGCAATATTCTATTCTTTTTTGAATCATAATCATGCTGTTAATGGCCTCCTCTCTCATGATTAATGTAAAATGCTTAGCTCTAATGGATCACTGACATAAAGGTTTTTTTTCCCATAGAAAAAAATGTAAACCTTTCATTAGGTTGATTTCTTTATGTTGGAAGATTTACTAGTAAGGAACAACTTAAAAAAAATCCAAAACATTTGTCTGATTCAAAATCAAACTAGCTTTCTTTTGTAAGTTTGCCCATCAGCAGTAGAAATATATACTCTTTCCAAAATTATAGACATCTTTTAAAAAAACTGCATTATTTTTTATTGAGGTAACTTTGGTATACAACACTTTGTATGATTGAAAGACAAAGGTTCACATCTCTTCGGATGACTGTTACCACACCACAACCACCACCAAACCCATAATCGTCCACCAAAGACTGCTGGGCCCCTCTTTGCTCCTCACTTCTCTCTCCCCTTCTGGTAATCTCAATTCTGCAATCACATTTCTAAGTTTTTTTTTCCCCTACACCACTCCACCCTCTACCCATTTCCTTTCTAAAGTTCCAAAAAGGATATACAAACAGGAAATGATGTCATCAAGTGTGCACGATTCGGCTATCTAGAGTGGTCCTCTGCACCAAATACCTGAGCTGATGACTATTTTGATCGAATTGCTTGTTAGAAATGGTTGTACATGGGGAGTGGCGAGACAATGGATTAGATCAAAAGGTACAGCATACCAGGAGCCAAACACCAGGATAAGCGCTCTACACAGGCCTCATTTGGTCTTCAGACAATGCTCTGGGAAAGGTCATTTATCATGCTAATTCTCTGATGCCAGAGAAGACACAGCACAGAGGGGACCCACAGTTGAGGACTGAAGCACTGTTTGTCCCCAGCCAGAGTCCTGGTGAGCTTAATCACTATGCCATATGCACAGATACCACACTTGTTTCCTACAGTCCCATAAGCATAGCCCAGTCTTTAATATTATACTGTCTAAATCTTCTAAGTCCTTTGATAAGAGTTCACCAGGCTCCTACTCTGGGGAAGTACTTGCCCGGGCAAGACAACTCCCTGCTTGCAGCTCTCACCCCCACCATCTGTTCTGCGCAGTCATAGTTATCATTTCAGAGCCCAGACCATATCACATTCTCCCCTAATTCAAA